TGATACTATCGTTGTATAAATTAATTTCTAATATAAGTTCTGGAAACATTTATTCAACTGTTTCGATTGATTGATCCTTTTTAATGATGATTTCTATCAGTTAATTAATCTGAAAGGGTAATTCTTATCGTGGTAGGTTATCAAACGTCGTATAAGCACATTTAAAAATCTACAAAAATGTTCACAAATATCTTTAAGAGGATGTACTAGAAAGCATTTAGCTGGTAAAATTTCAGTGCAGTTCTCATATATTCTTCGAAACTTGCGAACAACAACATCATCATCATCATCATCCTCTATAAATTCACTAACCAGTGAACTGACATTAGGATTGTCCCATTACTGTTCTTATCCTCTCCGTCCACTACTTGTTTTTATGATTTTTATCGCATATAGTTTATGACAATTAAACAATGAGAACAATGATTTTCAAGTAATTAGTGTTCATTTGTGTCCAGATTAGTGCACAAATTGTAAAATCCTCTAAAGTTCCATAGCATGGAAATGAGCGACTATGTGTTTGGTTTAACAATTCACAAAAGGAAGGCTCTACCAGTCATAATGAACTAAGCAAACGATGTAAAGCTCAGTGATTGATCAAGACAAATTAATTGAAGACGACAATTGACTCGAATCGTTGAGTATGCAAAACATTATTTAAAGAACGTTAGAGTTTTAAGATAGCACAGTCATGGTCATTCAAAAGATAGTCCATAATTATTGAACGTGTAATGAATAAATGAGAAAGTGGTTTAAAATCACTGTTAAATTCAATGGAACACTTCAGAATACATTTGAAATTCAGTTTGTCCATTATCATTCTGATAAGCTCATATCAGTAATTCATAATTTATTAAAAATTATACTATCCGTCGCTTCATTTTCACGAAACGTATCTTAGATCATAAATGAAATCTGACCAAATTCACTCTATTCATTAATTACTAGAATGATTACAATGAAATGATGAAAAACTATCACATTTACTGTATAATACAATCTCATACTGCATACTTCAGATTCGAGTACTTGCTTGTGTCTTATTGGAATTTAGAAATATTTCGTCAGTTTTATTTCAAATTCACAAATGATTTACTTCGATTGTATTTCATCATATGAAATTCTCAAATGCTATTGAACAACATTCACAGTAATCCTTGAATCATTCAAACTGACTCATAGTACAGAATACTTCGATTTGAAATTGGTTTATGAAATGTAAAAGTAAGGCCCATGATACTTTACTCAAAATCACGTTGAATTGATAGTTGTATGAGTGTTTATTGGGATGCATTGTGTCAACTTTGTTGCATCGTGATCACTCAAATGAAATGGAATGAAATCGATTGTATTGATGGAGCATATGTGGTTTTTCATTGTTCTTCCAAATCCATTTATGTCCGACATTTAACCGACAGACTGAGACACTCCATGTGATCAATAGCACTCAGTATATAAATTGAAATGCACAGTTTGAAGTTGTTTGTAGTTAGCTACAAAGCTGACAAATTAATTAAATGGTCATGTATTTTCACAATTGATAATCAGACTTGGATAATCTTGTGCAAAGTAATTCATCATGTATCAAATAACAGTGAACTATCCACATGATAAGCGTTAACAAGTATGTGAATCAAGTGGATTTTCTGGGTGACAATGTAATCCGCTCATTCAAGAGAATTAAAATCATTTGGAAATAACATGAATCAGATATTCTGGTATTCAATATCTATTAAAAACACTTGTTGCTTGAATTTTTCATGGTGGAACATAGTCGTTCGTTAATCACATCATAGTACTGACAAAGTAATCCAGAATTTTGCTCTACTTCCAAGTGTACCATCTTAAAAATGAAAGGAGACGAGAGGATCAACAAAAAAGTATCGATCCAATTTCTTGTCATTTATAGGGCAATTCGGCCTAGACTAATCAAATGTTGATGTAATACCCTATCGTATCCTTTAGAAAATATAATGAAGTACGTGTTCATTTTGCGAAAATTCAGACAACGAGTCCAATTGATGGAAATTTTTGGGTGAACAATGTGTATATTGCAATCGAATATGACCATTCATCAGTGTTCATTTGCCACAAAATTCACAGCAATTACACAACTCGCATTAGCATGGGGATACACAGTCACATGTTCTCTGTAGAAACCATATGATAGAGAGTCCATTACAGCTACTTAACAATCCAATATCTCATTCAAACATCTATTTGTCATCGTTTTATTCAGTTTTGTCTTTCAAGCCTTCTCTAATAGTTTCTGATATTTATTAACATCATATAGTTTATTCGAATTGATTTCTGCCATGTGAAATGACAGTTAACTGTAAAGTATTCAAAATACCTTCTACATTCTCACTGTTCCATTTCTTGGAAGATCAGATCAATATTGATTTATAAGCCATATTGATAATTGATATTTATGATCTCAATGATGATAATATTTCATATTGAAAGTTCAGCAGAAAAACAGCTGATCTATACCTTATTGAAATATAATAAATCTATTATCTAACTGATTACATGTTATCACAAATGTAGCATATATGTAGAATGAATATTTCAATATACAATATGAATGTTCATTAAGACAAATAACTTTCATTTATCATCTAATAATATAACTGTTTAGTAATCTATACTGACCTACGTTAACTATTACTGTAATCAATGAATTCTCAGATTGATTCATTTCATCAGAAATCATATAAATAGATGAACAGTAAATAATCAATCTACAAATTTGATTTATCAATTAAATTGATGTCAGAATTATCAACAACAATCAATGTTATTGGAATTGGTCTTCCAAGAACAGGAACAAGTAGTTTGAAAACTGCATTAGAAATACTTCTCTGTCAACCATGTTATCATATTATTGAAATGATAACAAAAAATCAGTATGATATTGATAGATGGCAGAAATTGCTTAATGAAGCTCGTAAGACAAACTCAAATGAAATGATGATACACAATGGTTTGAGTGAAATACTAAATGGTTATGCATCAGTGACAGATATTCCAGCATGTGGATTTTATAGGGAACTAATGACTGTATACCCTAACTCAAAGGTATGTTTAGTGTTATTTTTAAAATTTCATAATAAATATGAATTTTTTATTGTAACATAATGTAAATAATGAGACTATTTCAAAGTCTGTATGTGTTGTATTATTTTGTGGATGCGGAAGGATAGACCAATAATTATCATGTTAAGTCCGATGGTGTCCTTGGACTTTAAATGGACATTTCCTATTGGTCAATATCTGTTCACTTGTTAAATATGGTACAAAATGTTGTTTCCTATTTTTATGGTACGATGTGGTATGTTTGATTAGTATATAAACAGAGTGTGTTTGAAATACAATGATTCATAACTCAGAGGCTGTGACTTGCGTTCTGGACTCAACTGGCTGGGATAGACAGGGAAGCAGGGCCAATCGGACTCTAGGTCGTTCGTACGTGTTTACAAGTCACTGTAACCGATCAATAAAACGCTGCTCCATCTAACCTGCAGTCACACCCGTGACAACTTATTAAATCAACTGGTCGATCACATTTGAATGGATAGAATAGTTTACTTACCAAATTTTCCTACTTAAAGAGGATCAAGAAAATTATCGCTCACAGTCTGAACAGAATAAGTAATGATGTTTTTTGGAAGTTTCCGAGGGACTTATTATTATCTTTTTGATATCAACTCAAAAGTTACACAATTTCATGTTAATGTCAGCCTGTTTTGAGACTATCAAAGACACAACTCATATTTAATAATTAATGAAATCTTTAAAGTCAATCTTTTTCTTTGTTTCTTTACTTAAGTCAACTGTTCTCATTGAATTGTCTACACCATTTTTTGAAGTAGGAAACATTGATGAATTCCTTGTCTAAGCGTTGAACTACATTATTGATTTATCGATCATAGTAGCCTTCACGATTATGAAGTAATTAGTATTCCTACGTTTGAAACTTGAGATCATCGTGGTTGAGCAGTTTGTTGCAAACCCAAGTGTCACCAGGTTTTGATGCTGTTTGTTGGGATGGCGGTGAAGATTTGCAGTCCAGGTGAATACTGATGATATTCTTGAGCATAATATTTAAGAGTGTTAGTCGTAAATGATTATCAAGACAATATCATTCACGCTTACTTCAATTAGTAGTGAATCTCACAGTTGTTCCAGTGAACTGGAATAATATTTGATGATTTCTGACTAGATTAAACGAAAGATAACTGACAGAAGCATTAGAACCTTGGAAATATACCCACTTGTCCAACTGTCAATGAGTACATTAATCGAAGTTATCTCCTCGTTTTCTCAATAACACACACTGTTTTATTTCAGCGGATACAAATAGGTATATTCACCCACTTGAGAGGGTGAATGGTGATTGCTCGCTTCGAATGTATTTAGTGTAGCTGGCTGTCACTTAATCATCACACGGATATCGCTGTTAAACAGCCATTGCCTCCTGACGTTTGTTTATATATATATATATATATATATATATATATATATATATATAAGCACTAACACCTTTTCTGGGAAGGCTGATAGTTACCTCATCCCAGTATTTGCAACCATAATTTTTGTTACATTTCCAACCTGATAAACTGGGTCGTCGATTTCATTAGATATAAGGCAAACATTTCGTCAATTTCTTGTGCTTACCCGAGCGCATACGCTTTGCAAATACCCACACACGTGAATAACACAAACCGAGACACACGCAATTCATATTCAAAAGCATACAAATTGGGTAGCTAGCAAGAATTTGAAACCGTTTATCCTCTTATTACTGTATATCACATTGCTAAATGATCATTTTACTTGAATTTTATTTAATGCTTCAGTTTGTATTGACAATTCGTGATAAAAATGACTGGCTGTCAAGTCTACGACAAACAATATTGCCGAAAACCAGTCACTCACACACACTAGTGGTGGATAAAGTCAAGCATATACTGGGACTTGATGCGCGATTCGTTAAAATGGCATATGATTCACTGACATTCGCATTTCGTAAAGGTGAAATTGACTTTGATGATGATACGGTACTATTAAAATGTTTTGATGAATATAACGAATTGGTAGTTGAGAATGTACCACCAAGTCGCCTTCTAATACATAAACTTGGAGATGGTTGGAATCCCTTGTGTAAGTTTTTGAATGTGAATGTACCTCGTTGTATACCATATCCTCATGTCAGTGATCGGAACGAAACACAGAAGCGTGCTGATGTGCTCAAAACGATTGGTATCCTCTGAGACCATTAGACCACGTTGTCTTAGAAGAAGTCGTGGGGTCTGATTATCAGATGTTTGTAGAATATCATCAAACAGATCAAATAAATTTAGTTAATAAAAGACTGAATAACTTTGCGATCTTACTTGTTTTGTATAATTACGGAATATCATTCAGAAATATTCATGAAGTCTGCATTTGTAGACTTATGGTATACCTCGATATCAGTACTGCCCTAACAATGGACTTAATCCTAAATTTGTAGACTTACCATGATGCAACTGTCTAATTCACAAGATCTTACGTGAGAGTCACATCATTGTCTACCCAGAATAATCGTATTGTAACAATCATCAATATATGATGAAGAACACGTTTAGTCTGGAGTTAGAACAATGTGTTCGATATGAATAAAAAATTGTTACTTAAGTATGACCACGCCTGCAATGCCGAGCCATGCTATCCGACCAATTCGAATTAATTGAATTTATTCTTTCGGAGTTCTCTATAATTGGGTTTTTCTCTGCGGTAAATGTTGAATATCTAACTTCCTAGACGTCTAGTGTTCAGCTTTGAGGATTGTATTACTTGAGCTCAATACCACTACACACTCATTACTGAGTGGATTAGTTTCAAAGTTCACTTCGTTTACTGAATCACCTCTACATGTCATTTATTGGACGGTGTTTCATACTTGACATGGTAACCAATTTTGGTTACAAATTATGAATTTCTGAAAATTTAAACTTCACCAGACACGAACTGTCGCGAAATTACAAGGCTGAACTTTCAGTGTTTTTTCGAATATAAGTCCCTCTAGGAATGTACACTTTTCACTTAACTGGAGATTCGCTTCTGAATTCGAAGTAAGGCGATAAGTTATGTAAACAATGACCACCAAATACCATGGACGGTGATTGTTACACTACGAAAACACCAGAATCACACAAGTGATGACTACATATTACAGCCTTAGGAAACAAAATGAGTACTGGTGAAAGATGAGTACATGATTACAGCTTTTATAGAGTTGAAGTCTGTTGAAGTGACACTGAAAATTATGAATCAGTTAATCGCTATACTGAATGTTATCTTTACATAGAACGAATCTTCAAGAAAGCAATAACTTGTTTAAGTCATTTGATCTGTAATGGATTACTGTGCTGACAAATTAATAATCTTTCACATGAAAATTTTGTTTTGATTATTATGGATTTTTTGTTCGAATTTCTGAAAGATCCTCACAAATTGTCATTCATGGAGTTCATCAGCTTGATAAATGCTTTCAGTACATGAGTTTATTATTCCATCTGGATACAATGCAGTTCATATGGCTGGTTGATTGAATAAATCTAAAGAAATTTCGTCTATCTAATTTCCCCCTTCCACTTTCTGATGGTGGTCTACTGGATTATGAAGACCTTGACATCTGAGGGAAATCAAGGAATACGATTGGCAGCTCAGAATCAATTAGAAGATTTGGATTTCGCACATAAAATGGCTCTCTTATCCCATACACACCAACAAATTCATATGAAGAAAACTGGTGTAGCAGCAGTCTATGCATCTGTAGGCCTCAACATACACAAAGGAAAAAAAGATCCTAAAATGCAACATGGAGAACACCAACGCAATCACATTTGATGGCAATGCTTTAGAAGATTTGGAATCCTTCACGTACCTGGGAAGCATCATCAATGAAAAAGAGAATCAGTTGCAGACATAAAGGCGAAGTATGACGAAGAAAAGGCCATATTCCTACAAATGAAGAACATGTGGGACTGGAAACAACTGTTAACCAATATCAAAGTCGGTCTTTTTAATGCGCTCATCAAGAGAGATATCTTGAACTGGGCTGAAACGTGGGGAGCAACTACGACCATCATCAAACGAGTAAAAGTATTTATAAACAATGGTCTACGCAAGACACTCATTATCCGCTGGTCGGATACCATGAGTGACAGCCTCCTATAAGATGAGGACAAACTACTTTGCGACAGAATAAAATATTCTTGAATGTTGATCGACAGACATATGTTTTACTGATTGTGGTTTTGAAATTATTTACAATTCTGAGTTATGCTTTCAACCATAACATTAGTAAAGTGCCGTTCAATAAACGTATAGTAGGTTAGTCGATATTGTCTTATACGTCCATAACATCACTGGTGTCAAAAATGAAGTGGGATAGGTGTCGAATCATCGACTTAAATAATGTACACTCAAATCAAATCCCGAAGGTTCCGATTTGACTACTGAATAACCTGTGGGTTGACGTTTACGAGGTATTCCTTACCAAGAAAAAACGACTGTCTGATAATTCTTGATTTATGATCGCTATGTAGACAGCTTTAGTTCACAATATAGATTACATATAATCGATTGTAATCAACTTAGTGAATAACTCAGCTTGTATTTCTTATAAGTGGTTTGATATAACTCGTCAGTTCATCATTTATTGATGTAAAACAACAAAAAACCCAAAGCAGAGCAGAAGTTTACTATTTTCTGCCTTATAATTGAATTAAAAAATGTACGTTTTGACTATGATTCTAGTATTCCGTTTTAACTAACGCACCAGTTATTCTTGTGAGCAGGATATCAAATAAGAATATTAGATTGTTAGAAGTAGTTTATTGAATTCTGTCACTATCATTCACTTTTGCTCTATAAATTGGCTAGTGTACATGTAGGATGTAATAAAGTTGAGGAAAGCTGATCTTTGATATAATCTCAGTCCATGATATCGATAACTTTAAGTCTTTTACTAAAAAACATATAAAGAATATTAAGAACTTCAACAAAGTCAAATCGTGAATGTTATGCTGAACGTAATTCGGAAAATCTGGTATTTTGAATAGACATCACAATGATATGATCCGGACTTACATTGAGTGATCATTGTACTGAAATGAAAACGAAAGTTGAAAAACTTTCGGTAAAACGGATTCCATAACCAATTGCAAAATGTCCATCAGCTCAACTTACTCGGTTTTCACCATGAAGTGTCATAATTCTTCTAAATGAAGACCTTCTAACTCTCAGGACAGAGTTAAAATGGTTTGAATTATTTTTTCTGGTAAGCGTTTTTTTTAGCGAGTTAGTTTTCTATGGGATGGGGATGCTAACCCCTTGCCCAACCTTCCTCCTTTACCCGGACTTGAGACCGGCAGTAACTGTAGAAGAGCTACAGGCGTAGTTATCAGCTGAACATATACTTATAGTTTTACAGATTATCCTATGTTTGGAAAGAAATAAGTTAAAACATGATTTCATTTCTAAGAAAAACGGAAAAACTGGATAGAAAATGTGATGAACAATTGAGTGAACCTACAATCGAGTGATTATTGATTTGTTACCATTTTCTTTGTTGCTGAGTGTTGAATATGACTAGATCTTGGTTAAATGTCCCCTTGTAACTATGTTCAATCACTTAACTAGATAAGAATGTCAAATGGTCAACCAGAGAGAATTGTAGATATCTAGCAATATAAGTCGAGATCAATATCTTTCACAATTAATAATTCATTAACGATCTACAGACTAGTTTATCTGATTTTAAAACGCATGATTTATTTGTGGCCAAGTTATAGTACTCGATTGTCTTTATCGAAACAGATAGATGGTGGTTGGAACTTGTAAATTAGTGACTGAAATTAAAACACTTCAATTACGTTACTATCACTAAACATCAAATTACTTAAAACTACTTTATGCTTTAAAATGTTGATTGACTGGACGATAGACTGGCAAGTAATTCAACACCTTGACATGATAATTGTAATTTATCATGGTTGAATAAAATGCTTTAATTTACACCTACGGAATAGTTTGATTAATGTTTGTCGGTAGATCACAAAAGTACAGTTGTTGCATATTCATGTTTACAATCTTCAATACTGACCATCATCCATCTAAAATGAGTGATCACGCAACTGGAATTACGTGTATATCAGATAATCCTCTTTCAGAATGTTTTCACTGTGTGATAACTCGTTTTGAGCATTTGATATGTTCTCAGTGATCGTCATTGTTTTGATTGTATATAAATACCAGCTATCAGTTTCATGTAATATACATATTTCGTGTCTGACATTATATCAGAAAATTCAACATCATTGTTGTTTATTAGAGCTGATTTATCGAGAACAGGAACGACGAGTTCAGAAGCGGCACTCGAACTAATTCACTCTCAACCATGTGATTATTTGATTAAAATTGTGATCAAAAAGCATTGTAATGTAAGCAAGTGATAGACACTGTTCGACGAATCTCTCAGCACGACACCAAATGAAACAATGATACGCAGAGGTTTCAGTGAAATATGGGATGAATATTAAAGATTCCCATTGTGAAAATTAGAACAACACATATAAGCGAACAATATTGTTTTCAATTAGATCGTCATCAGGCTTTACTCTAATATACATGAATACCTATACGAAAATTTTAAACCAATCAAGGCAATATGAGTCAATAATCACAATGAAATAGAATAAGTCACTACGCATAATAGGTAAAAGTACAAGTTGATAGTCGGAAGACAAGTGAACTGATAATAGTGAGAATAATAAGATACAATAACAAAACTTTAATCAATAGTTAATCGTTGGAAATAGAAGGTCAAATAAACATGGGTAAATAGACTAGGAATAGTAATCACAAAACATTAAAATCATTACGTAATAAGAAGTATGTAACTAATTAGATAGTAAAGAATACAAACGGAAAGAGGCGGAGAACTACAAACAAATACAGAATGTGAAAATAAGGTTAATGATAACACAAATAGAATAAAATAAATAAAATTTAGAAAAAATAAAATAAAATTCGTTAGTTAAGTTATAACTGGCCATGGAAGGGATAGGGGATTACGTATTTCTTCTGTACACATAAATTAGGGTTATATGTACGAATTCCAATGGTTTCAGCTATATGTAGGAGGTGGGAACGAACCCCGTTGGGGAATGATAGAGGTGTACGATAAATAACACGAAATGACTATCTACTGCATGACCGCTAT